GTTATTTTTTTGTTTTCTGTGTTTTTTCAATTAAAAAGTAATATAAAAACTTGAAAATTAGTAATGTAAAAAGTAATGTGAAAACTTGAAAAATAGTTCATAGGGATAAAGGATTTTTCTTGACTTGTCAGGCTCAAGTGTAATTTAAAGGTAAACATAAATAGGAAAATGAAATTTATTGACTTCTATTCATTTAATCCAATTTAATATTTAGAATTAAATTGTTAATATTAATTATAACAATAAGAACATCAACAAGTAAGATTTTCACAAACTAACTGTAGGGTTTTGCCCAGGGGGCCACCCATCGTGTAACGTGTATGCTACAGCATGGCAGCGTGAGTTGCCTGTGCACCACGCGGCTCCCAAGGTAAAGAGATGTGTGAGTTGTATATGCTTCATGAGGCCCCTGGCTCAAAACTAGTGTGAGTTAAATACAACTCACATGACAGTTAATGTGTTAAATTATTTACACTCAAAGCCTTGCAGTCATCTTGATGTCTTTCTCTCACTCCATATTCAATCTTCTGGCTAATCCTGTTGATTCTACCTTTAGAAGTTAACCAGAATCCTACCAGGGCTCCACAATTCCCTTATCTAAGCCATCATCATCTCTTGGCAGGATTACTGCAATAGTCTCATATCTAATCTGCCTTGTCTCTTTACAATCTACTCTTAACAGAACAGCCAGAACAGAACTATTTGATCCTATTAAATAGTACCCAGCGTAGTCACTCCTCTGCTTAAAACCCTCCACTGATTTCTGATGCTTTCTATCATCTGGACTCTGCTACTTCTTTCATTCTTTGTTTCTGCTAGACCAGTTTTCTGGCTGTTCCTCTAATCTCCCAAGCTGCCTCTTGCCTCAGGGCTAGAACACATACTATTCTTTTGCCTGAGACACTTTCTCTTTGATATTTGCAGAGGTTAGTTTCTCATGCTTCCTTTTAGTCTCTGCCCAAGTGTTACCTTATTGAGAGGCCTTCCCTGATCATCCTGCTTAAAATTCATGTACACTGCTCTCCCTTCCCTCTGGTACTCCTTCTCCCCTTTCCTTGCCTTATTTGGCTTCAGAGCATTTACTTTAAGAGGAAGTACCATCTGAAATGCCATGTAGTATGCTTTGTTTATTGTCTCATCCCCCAACAGAGAGCAGGAACTTTTTTGTTCATTTTGTCCCAGTTCCTTGAATAGTGCCAGGTGCATCATATGCACCCACATATTTGGTGAATGATCAAATGTACCTATCCATTCTTGGCTCACTGCAGTTTACTTCCCTGTACTTTAGTGTGGGTAGTCCTTATAGAACTCCAGCATTGTGATGTTACCCCTGCCTCCGTTTAAAAATCCTCCCATAGCTCTTTATTGTCATTAGAAAAAAGTAGAAAAGGGTTAATACGGAATAATGGTCAGGACTTTTTGTTTATAAGTGACAGGATCTCAACTCAACCTAACTGGCTAAAAAAGGAATTTATCAGCTCAAATAATGAAAGGCCCAGGGGTTGAGCAGCCTGTAGACATAGCTGGATGTAGGTGTTCAAATGATACCGTTGAGTGTCTCTTCCTCTTTTCCTCTCTCTCCATGTGTAGCTCTGCTTTCCTCCACTTGAGAATAAGAGTGGTATCTTTCATCCTGGTTCACATTCCCGCCCCAAGCCTAGCATATTTTTGACACAAAAGATACTTACTGTTGAACGAATGAATATTTAAACCTTCATTTTCCATTGCCAGATTTAACCACTTATGATACAGTGAAACACTACTTGGTATTGAATACACCACTTGAGGACAATATCATGACTCATGGTTTGTCAAGGTAAGTGATGGTTTTAGTTTGATTTTTTCTGTTTTTTTTCTATATTACCTTTTCTTCCATATTTGGCATAAATTCTAACATTTAGGCTCTTTTAATTAGGCATCTAGTGGTATCACCCTTAGAGAAGGGTTATAGTACATTTATAAGGGTGATTTTCTTAAAGTGTATTAACAGTTAAAATGGATACGAGACACGCAAAGTTGCAGGATATTTCAGAATTAAACCTCCCAAAATATTTGCACCTTGATGGGGCCATCCAAGGAACAGGCTCTGATGATCAACTCTCAACAGATATGCTCGAGCACCTTTTATGTTAAAGGCACTGTGCAGGGCCCTGCAGTGGGTACAAAAGAGGTAAACTCAACTCCTGCCCATGAGACTTCCCAAGTATTAAAACGCTGTGCAGTAAATGCTAAAACAAAGCGACTAGTTACTATAGGATTCAGAGGAGGAAGAAAACATAATCACTTGGCAAGACCCACAAAAGGAATAGAATTAGATAAGAGTTTTGAAGGGCTGTGGCTCTTCACAGAGACAAGGAGAAGGGCATTCCAGGAAGGGACAATACCTTAATATCTTTGTAACACAATTTAAAATTATCCATTAGAATGAGTAATTTTATAAATGTCTGTTATCCCTGATGTTATAGTGATTTCATTTAGCTTCTGATCTTTTTCTTAAATTCTAGAACCTCCTTATGCTATTTAGACAATCTCAAAAGTACGTTAATAATGTCAAATCAATGATATTTGGAGATATTTAAACACACTAAGAATATTCCTGACTCAGGGCTTTTGCACGTGCTATTCCATCCGCTTCTAATACTCTTCCTTCAGGTCATCACATAGACATATCCTTTTCACCACTCAATTCTGCTGTTGCCCTTAGAACCTTTCCCTGACTACCTATCACCCAGTTACTCCCTATCATATTCCCCATTTTTTTCATAGCCCTTATCAGCATCTGAAATTATTTATTTCTCCTCTGCCTCTCTCCAAGTAGAGTGTAAGCTCCTTGAGGGCAAGGTCTTACCTCCCTTATTCACTCCCTAAAAGAATGCCGGGCACCAGCAGGTGCTCAGTGCATACTTTTTGACTGACATTCTTTTTGTTTTTATTTTCTTCTACGTCTTTAAGGAATTAATTTAGCATTAATTTTAAGCTAAAAGAGCATTATTATGAAGAATATTATAATAATATATTTGGTATTCTTTCTAAATATCAAATACTCTTTCTTAAAATAGAAACTACTACATATTATCTTTCCATTTCATTTATTTGTGTTTATAGTTTATGTTCTGGACTAGTAGCTTCTATTCTGGGAACACCAGCCGATGTCATCAAAAGCCGAATAATGAATCAACCACGAGATAAACAAGGAAGGTAGATAGAAAGTCTTCAATATTCATGTGCTTCAATGGCTATAATAATATTGTTCTTTAAAGATCCTTTCCTCTGTCTATTGTGGATATTTTTGTGTTCAATGAGAAAATTGTTTATATGCAATTATCTGCTCTTTGTCCAGCGAAAAAGTGCTATGCGTTTGGGGAAATAAGCTAATTAACAGTTATATTAGTTAGACACAAGGTATTCCTTGTGACTTTATTGTTTTCAAAGAGTTTTTGAAAGTATAATCTGCTGAGAATTTACAGAGCACTTTCTTTGGAAGCTTAAGACTTACGGGTAACATGGATACTTTTATTTGGTATAAAATAGTGTGTTCTTTCTGGAAGAAATCAAGTGGAGTGAATTCTAAGTATAAGACCAAGGATGGGATGAATCAGAATAGTCAACCTTGAAAATATCTTTAAGCTCAAAAGAATTTAACTATATCTATAGAACCACAAATATTATTTGTTCTATACTAACAGAAAATATTTAACTTATAGTAAGTTTCCTCAGACTATTTTGTTGTATTTATACGTCTTTTTACACAGAAGAAATTTAACAAAATTGTCTTGTTTTTTTTGTAGGGGACTTTTGTATAAATCATCAACAGACTGCTTGATTCAGGCTGTTCAAGGTGAAGGATTCATGAGTCTGTATAAAGGCTTTTTACCATCTTGGCTGAGAATGGTAAAGTTAGGTTTTTTACTTCCTTTTTTTTTTTCTTTTCTTTGTGCTTAAATTACTTTTAATCTGTAAGTATTTTCCCTTTCCTCTTCTGGTTTGCAGCATGGCCCCAAAATCAAGGTCCTTTCTCTCTTTTTTAAATCTTTTTTTGTTTTCTTTTACCTCTTCTCAAAGTCATATTGCCTTCCTATGTAGCTTAAGGTAAAATAAATAAGTTACTATCCGTTAATGAATAGGTGGATAGATTTTCTGTAATGTAAAATCTTTAGTAATCTATTTAGTTATATTTTAATATAGTAGTTTGGGAGAGGTATACAAATTTTACAGTAGATAACTTGCCTATGAAAATTTTACTGTTTCAAACAAAATTTGTTACTTTGATGGCAAATGTTATATTACTCTTTTATACTTATTACCACAAAACTGTGCTTAGTAAGAAACTATTGTGTCGGCCGGGTGCCGTGGCTCACGCCTGTAATCCTAGCTCTCTGGGAGGCCGAGGCGGGCAGATTGTTTGAGCTCAGGAGTTCGAAACCAGCCTGAGCAAGAGCGAGACCCTGTCTCTACTAAAAATAGAAAGAAATTAATCAGACAAGTAAAAATATATAGAAAAAATTAGCTGGGCATGGTGGCACATGCCTGTAGTCCCAGCTACTCGGGAGTCTGAGGCAGGAGGATCACTCGAGCCCAGGAGTTTGAGGTTGCTGTGAGCTAGGCTAACGCCATGGCACTCTAGCCTGGGCAGCACAGTGAGACTGTGTCTCAAAAAAAAAAAAGAAACTATTATGTCATTTTTATTTGGTGTAGGTGTTATTTTTTATTGAAGTGAACTAAGATGTAGAATTAGATGACTTAAGTAATATAGCAAATAAAAACAAAGATTCATGTCCCTTGTAAGTTAGAAAACATTTGAAAGAATGATGAGTTATGGGTTTAGAAATTCAAACAATCAAAAATTAACATAATATATTATAATGTTATATATAATGTAATATTTATATATATATATGTAATTGAGTACCTATGCCATGCAAAGCCCTACACTAAGGGCTTAGCTTTGAGTAAGAAGCTATAAGTGATGAGTGTTATGGGAAGAATGCCTGGTGCTATAGAAATATATAGCAAATAAGTACAGGCTAGGCTGGGAGATATGAAAACTTCGCTGGAGAATGGATTTTGAACTGAGATTTGAAGAATGAGTAGGACTTAGCCAGGTAAAGAGAACAGAAAGAAATATTCTCTTTAAAGGGAAAGTTGGAGTGGACACAGAGCACGATGAGTTCGGGGAACCGAAGGAAACCAAGCAGGCCAAGGCACAGAGACCTGGTGGAGGGAGACAGACATCAGTGTGGGAAGGCCATATGAACCAGAAGAGTGATGGCACCAGCCTCATATCATCTGCATTTTTAGAGAAATCATCTGGCTGCCATGTATATTGGAAAAGGCCAGGAATAGTGATAAATGAGAGATAATGGTGGCTTTAACAAGAGTATGATGTGGGGACAGATGATAAAAAAAGAAATTTAGGATGTAGAAAGGAAATAGAAATATGACTGATTGGATGGGGATGAGGGAATGGTTGGAGAAGATAAGGAAAAGTCAGGCTTTATTCCCAGATTCCTACTGTGAGGAACTGATAATGATATAATTTCCTAAATAGGGATCATTTGCAGGGAAGAAGATTTTGGGGGTAAAATAAGTGGATACATGATATTTTGGATACCTATAAGACATCCGAGTAGAGGTATCTAGATGACTAACTTAATACATTGGTCTGGATCTTGGGAGAGAATACAGGGATGGAGATTTAGATTTGAGTACTGCCTGTATATAGTTGGTCATTGAAGCTTTGGTAATAAATATCACTAAGGGATAGTAGGTATTTATTTATTAACATGAAATTAATGGCCAAAGCCCTTGGCAATATCCGATACAAAAGTGTACCAAAGTTAAAAAAAAATTAATGGTCTTGATTATATTTTAAAATTATGTCAAAACTGTGGCTGTTTCTTACTGGAAAGGTAGATTTTGATTTGACTTGCATGAACCAAGCACTATTATAGGTGTTGGTAACACTGAGGAATAAGAGCTTTTGCACTAGAGGGGCTTACAGTGAGATGTAGAAACTAAACATGTAGATATTTAAAATTACAGAAATAATAAATATTACTGAATCACTTGGTATATGGCCAAAACTGCTAATCACTTTTATGGCTTAACTCATTGAATTCTCCCAATAATCTGTGAGGCAGGTTGCTATCCTATCCCTCTTTTATAGAGGAGGAAACAAAAGCATAAAGAGGCTGAAGAAGTTGACCAGGATAGGGTGGTTATTATAATAACTAGGGTATGAAATCAGAATTTCAAATCCAGGCAGCCTGATGCCAGAGAACTTAGCCTTACTAAGGGGTTTGTATTAGTGCTCTGCCAGTGTTGTGAGCAATACTCTGGGAACACAGACAGTAGAGTAAAAATGGCTGTAACTGTGTTTGGGGAGTCACGAAAGGCTTCGCAGCACTGATACTTGATCTGGGCTTTGAAGCATTGGTAGGCATTTGTCAAGAGAAATATGAGGGAGCAACATTAGCGTAGGCATCATGTCCACGTGTAGGCCTGTTATGTTTGAAGAGCTACAGAAAATTCAGTGTGTCTGGAAAATAGGTCCTCAGAGGGGAGGTGGTAGGAGACAAGGCTAGAGAAATACCTAAGGACCAGGTTGGTCAGGACCTTGTGGACCCAGCTTAGTATTAATAGTTCAGGTGTAACCCTATAGTCAACAAGCATCTGTAGTCACCTGTAGTCAGTGTCCTCATCCGATAGTCAGCAAGCACCTGCTTAAGCACGAGAGCAATGTGCTAAGATTTGGTTGTCAGTGAGATTACTTTGGAAGCAGTATAGAAGATACAGTGAAAGCTAGGTTACAAGAAAGTAAGTTTTAGCAGTGGTCTAGCCATTGGATGATTTTAGAAATGGAGAGAAGAGAGATTTTAGGGAGATTTATAACTCCACAGGTTAGTAACTCATTATATGTGGAAGGTGAGGGACAGAAAAAAAAAAAGGATACTTTTATGTTTCTAGTGTGGGAGGCTAGGAGGATGGGTGAGACTATTGCTGAAACACAAAATCAGGGTTTAGGGGCTGAAGGGCATGGATAATATCCAAGTACAGAGGATGAGACCACTTGATCTGACCCATTCTCTTTATACATGAAACTCAGGAAGTATAATATAAATGACAAAAAAAGAGTACATAACACATGCAAGCTCTACATACATTAATTATTTTTAAAATGTTATAAAAACATAGTGAAACAGGTAGTGTTATCCTCATTTTTCAGATGAGAACACCGTGGCTCAGAGTGTAAGGAACTTGCTCAAGTTCACGTCGCTAGCATGTTGCAGAGCTGGGAATTGACTGCAGGTCTATTCCACTCAAAACCCCATGCTCCTTTGTAGTACAGAATACTGAGTTGCTCAAGATCCTGCAGCTAGTCACAGAAATTTTAAAAGAGACAGTTTGTCGTTAAGAGGGGTATTATCAGAGAAAGGCTGGCTAACCACCGAACGTGTTATTTCCTTGTTGATTTGCCATAGTGTATGACCTTGAGTTCAGAAATCTGACTCATCAGCACTTCCAAGTAAATCGGCCTTGGAAATACAGAACTCGCCTCAGCTGATTCCATTGAAAGTATGATCAGGCCAGATTATCTATCTGGTTTATTCGCATTGTACAACACATTTGGTGAATGATCCAGATGCTCAAGTCCTCGGGCCAATGTGTTTCCTCCTAAATTCAAGCTATTTGGGGACCAAAGTAATAATCAAAAAGTTACTTGCTAAACACAGAATCACAACAGGAAGAGCTTATTTGTAAACCTAATATTTAAGAACTTCAACCCAAGAGAGGCCTGATGTGTTCAGCTCCACAGTAATAGGCATGGAAAAGGACTCTGCTTCTGCTTCTTTCCAGCCTTTATGGCAAAAGACAGGTCAGAGGAATCAACGTGGGCTCATATACACTCGAATCATTTACAGTGGTCACGGTTATGGCAGTGAGAAAGTCAGCAAGTGATCTTAGTGCCCACATGCATGCCTGCATAGAGAATCAGTTAATTCTATTTATAATACTACCCATGTTCTCGCTATATGATCTCCCTCTCTTTATTCAAAACTAAACTCCATTCCAATCCCTCCTACTAGGTAGAGGTAGTATTGCCTTGCTCTGCTCAGTCCCTGATTAATATTTATTTCATTTGCCTATGGTTTTGTTGCTATATCATTAACATGAGGAAGAAGACCTATTACCACAGCAATAAGGAATGATTGCATACACCATTCTTAACTAAGACCTCCTCCTCCTTGATCCGACTGCAGCTATATACCTGGCTCACTTCATTTTTGTTGTCACAAGAATATAGTTATCTTTACATCTTTATATCCCTATTTCAAGTATATCTTCATTTAACTAACCAAGATATGTTCTCCTAAATCTACTATTTAGTAAATTCTCAGTCTATTAATATAATATGCTCAATATTTCCAAACATATATGACATAAATATTGCTTTACAAACTGACCAAATACATTTTACATTCTAATTGCTTAAGCTTATTTCTCTACTCTAGTATGGTAGGGTCCTTCTCTGATCAGTGTTGATCAGAACTGAACCAGACAGGTGTTATTAGATCCAAGGCATCCCTTTCTCTGTTCCAGTGTTTCCCCTGTGATATCCCTCTGTGTCTTTAGTGTTTATATGTTTAGTATTTATATCTTCTTCTAATCCTTGTCCTTTTATAATTCTTTTAGATATAGTTGCACCTTCATTGAAGTTAAAGTCAAGCCTTTCTGAGCCGAAAGCTTATTTCTCTATGTAATGTGAATTTTTATATATAAGTTGTGAGACATCAGGTGTTGGTTTAATGACCTAACTCTCAAGGGGTAATCTTTTGCCTTCCTCACTTTCAAGTACTTAAGTATCTTATTGACATGCTCCATATTACAAACTACATGTAGAGGAGCCCAGCCTGGAATTCAGGCATCCTGAGTTCTAGCCCTTTAGCCATTAATGGTTCATAAAAGAACCCTGGGAATGGAAAACAGAAGCCTGTGTGATCTATCTCTACAACATGCTAATAGGCATTTGACTGTTAAGCCTCAGTGTCCTTATCTAAAAAATAGGGACATTAATACCTTTCTATTGTAAATTGTTGTTTAGAGAAATCTGCCATAAATAAAACACGAAAATGCTTTGTAAATTATAAAGTGCTTTATGAAGTGAGATGCAAAAATACTTGTTTTCAGTTTAAGTAGATTCAAAATGACTTTGTCATTCAAGATATGTATGCATATATGTAGAATATTTATAATTGCTTTGAAATATGCACTAACTTCTTTGGTTAATCTTTCAGACCCCTTGGTCACTGGTGTTCTGGCTTACTTATGAAAAAATCAGAGAGATGAGTGGAGTCAGTCCATTTTAAGCCCTTAAAGATACAGTGTTCAGTATTGTCGAAATATGGGCATCTGCAACACACACCCCCTGTTATTTCTACCTCTTTAGGAAGACACCTTACTCCACAGAGACTGTGATTTATAGGGGGGCAGCACTTTATTTTTCTCTGGAAACCCGAGTTCCCTTTGGCTCCTCTGTTTGTCCAAAAGTGATCTGGCCGGATCTCACAAGGCCACCCAATGAGACCCAGCACAGCATTTTGTAAAGAAGAATCGAACCCTGACCACTTTCACCTTGGGCGAGAAGGTTTGGCCTTTGAAATGCTATTCTGTGCTGAAGAGCCTGCCTAGAGGAGGCGTGCCAGGAGGGAGCCAGCATCTCAGATCTGAAGTAGACGATAGGAATGTGGAAGAATATATATGTAGTGCTTAAGAAATACGTTTAACCTATTATGTCAGTATTATAATTGAAGTTCGACAATTCATTTTTCTGTTGTTGTTAAAGTGTACATATTGTAAATTAAAGGGAGCTGAATAGAAATTCATGAGTCATGAATAAACATTTTGAGTTTCCCTAGAGTTGAAGGAAGTTGATGTCCCTTTTCTTGACAAGGAGGGGGAAAAAAAAATCAAGTCGAGATGATGTTTGGATTTCAAGGAAAGAAGCTGATCTGTCAGTGCCCTCTCATTAGATCTGTGTTAATTGGTTAGTACTCTGCTGCATATGCTAATAACTTTCCCTGACAGCCACAGACTCTGAATCTTGATGAAAACAGAGAAGAGAATTTGCCTTGTTACATATCCTGTTACAACTCAGATATGTCACTATCTCTCAAGAATCTTAATATATAAGAATTGTAACTTATCTGATTAAAATTCAGCTGTCTATGTCCTTTTATAAAACACCTTTGTGACCATCAGCCTTTCAGTGGTATTTTAAGAGCAAGGCTGATAGGAAGTTAGCCCACTCTGACATGCATCCTTTATCTCCTTTCCCTAAACACTAAGGGCTCTAGAGAGACAGAGAGACAGATTCAGAAATCACACTAAAACTGTCAATAGCCTGAATCTTATTCAGTTTGACAAAGCTTCTTGCCTAAAAAAGTGATAAGTATGAACTGTCTGCGGTATACAGTTACGTATCCAATCTTTGAATCAAATCCCTATTCTTATTTTAGAAAGGTAAGAGATTTCTTCAGATTCACCTATGTAGCACCTGCTCCCCCAGCCTCAGACAGTGGGCATTTCTGGATGGATGGCTGTGGTTATGGGTAAAAGCTGTAACTGTTAAATAGGAAAACACAAAAGCTTAAGCCCAAGAAAGACCTTGGAGCTAACCAAATAATTTGTTCTGATGGACATGGATGAAGTTGAATAGAAAAAAGTTTACAGGTGCTTTGCGGGTTGCACTAATGTATAATCACTGCCATTTTAGGAGGGGAACATATACTTTAAAATATACTTTAATGTGATGTATTAATATGCAACAGCTTATTGTTTTTCTAGTTGCAGAATGTGAAGTTTAATCTCTTCAAATCTTTAAGTGGTTTATTTTTCCATTGCATTTGTCAATCTGTAAATGAGTTGTTAAATATATTTAATATATTATTATGTGCTTAAATTCCCAAGTGT